GCTGAACCCGAGCTCGGCGCCTCACCTGACCTCGCTCCTCCCAGCGGGATTTTCAGTAAAAAAAGCCTATTGCTTTATATGCGATCTCTTTTCACTGACAGGATTTTTCCTAATTAGGGCGTTTGTTTGCTGTATAAACCAAAAAAAAAAAAAAAAAAAAAGCTTGGGGGCTGGTTGGGGTTTTGAGGGTTTTTTTTTCTTTGAAGCATTGTTATTTTTATTATCTGTTGTTATGTAGATGAGAATAATTGCATTCCTAGTAGATGCTTGTTTGCCTCCTGCTGCGACAGAAGGCAAAAGTTCAGCAGCCAGGTAGGGACCAGCTGCCCTGAGCAGGGTTTTATTGCTGAGATTAGCGGTGAGATGAGGTGGGAAAGAAAAAAAAGGCGGCTCCAGACAGCTCTGGGGCTTGAGGGCTTGAGTCGTCAGTTTCTTAAAATACTGACTTGAAAACAGCCAAACTTGGGCAATCTCATTGTCCAAAAGGGAAACCAGATGCTGGAAGAGAAATAACATAAACCAGATCTCTTAAAGGAGAGTAAATCGCTTCTTAATTCTTAAAATGCGTGTTTTCTGTGGGTTATAACTAGTATGCTGGGTACCTGGAGTTAAACTTTGCGTCTGGACTTGAGTAGTGACTCCGAAGCCAACACTCGGTGCCAGGTTCTGAGTTCCTATCAAGAGCCACTGAAGTTAGCAGCAGAGCTCAAGGCCAGATTTTCCCCTCGGTCGCAAACAGTCCGTTGAGTTTGAGAAAGGCGAGACCTGTAATCTCCGTACCAACGGATCAAGCTGGTGGTTCAGTTTGAGCGTAGACAGCCGTTTTCAGAACAGAGCCGGAGATTTGGCGAGCTCCTTGCACGTGAATCTTAAAATAAGTCAGTCAGGTGGCGATGATTTCTGGCAGGAATTACTCAAGCTGGCTATTAAAATACTTTTTTGCTTATTTGACTAAATAGGAAAGGTTTTGCTGCGCGTGGTTTTTAGATTTGTCACCGTGTTTGTACGCGTCGGTCTGGGACTGGCGCGTAGGACATTGCATTCTAGTAAGCGATCCTTGTAAAAACCACTAATGATTACCTAGCGTAGGGGGAAAGGTTGTAGGTGTGCATACTGCTAGAGGAAAATGTTTGTTGCTCAAAAGTACAGCCTGGCTTTCTTTCGAGCAGCAGGGTGCAATTTTTTTCACAATGCGAAGAGTTAACCTGCACTTAGAGAAGCACTTGAAGAAATTCCACTAGTGTGAAGTCTTGCCTGCCAGCTGAGGCACCAAGGCATAGATTTAGCTTTTGTGTGTATTTTTATGATGTATTTATATTCAGTTTTGATAAAGAGTCCCTTGGAAAAAAAAAAAATTCTGAATGGAAGCAAAGTGCTGTTGAACTCGCTGGGGTTTTGATTATGTGTTGGTGGTGTAATGCTTAACACCACTAGCTTGTTACAGAAACTTTACAGACTTCATTCTAATCTGGGCTTCTGTACAGCGTGGAGACAGGCTAATCATTGTTTGCAAGTACAGAACTAAAAAAAAAAAATACTGAGCCAAAGTTATCCATAGTATGAACTGTGCTGAGTCTCAGCTTACACCGTGGCTGAGTTTGTAAGGGGAGTACATGACCCCAAGCTGAAATGCAGATCTCGGAGAGGTGAGGTTTCTAAGGAGAGGGATTTTTTTCCACCCTCCCTGCCTTGGATCAGACGATACAGTTGGAAAGAGAAGAAGAAACAGATGCATTTTTTTGGCAGTGGGGCCATTCATGTCTGAGAGCAATCGCAGGACAGAAAGTGGGATTTGTTTCCCTTTAAGAGAGGGGAAATGACCTTTTGCTAAGCTGAATTTATAGCGTACAGAAGTTTTTCTGTTGGCCGAACACCCCAGGGGAGCACATCGCATGTACAGAAAATGCTCTGGTCATGCCGATGTGCGCGAAATTCCTCCATCCGCAGAGCAGAGGAAGGCTCCTTGGGAGCCGCGCTCTCTCTTGTTCAAGAGAGCAGTGCTTTTCACTTCAAGCCTGTCTTTGCATGTCTCGATACATATCGACTGTTCTGAAAAGTTACGATTTATAATCCCAGGGAGCCCCTTTGTACCGCTGAATGCCTTCTGCCAGACCTTGTGTGTATGCATGTGTCGCTTCAGCCTAGCACAGATGTGCTGGGAAGGCATTCACACATGTCCCTCAGCACAGATAGTGTGTCATTGCATCTCATATGGGGAAAGGCTGCAGAGTTGACCCTTCAACAGCAAGCTGCAAAAGACTGTACGAGCATCCTAAAGCGCTGAGGTTTCTTGCTATTAATTTTCAGTGTCACGTTTTTCTCTTCCATGCTATTTATATCGCTGGCCTTGACAGAGCTGTGTGTGGCTTGTGTCTGTATATTTTCTGCTTACATTCCTGCAGTTTCTTAAGCTTCTCTTGGCTTGTGTCCATTTATTCTAGTACACTGATGTATGGTTTTCTAGAAATAAATTACCTATCCTTTTCCTCCACTCAGAAATGTCTGTGATTAATTAAAGTTTCCTTGTCTTCTTTTGCACCCAGCCTAACTTTCCAGCCTTCTGCATAATCCTTTTCCTGATTGACTCTGTCTTGAGTGCAGTGGCTCGTGGTTGTCAAAGGAAAGAAGCGACTGCAGTGTTTCCAGTGCTGTACCTAAACCCAACTGAGTGTCAGGTTCCCGGGGTTGAGGACACTCTCTTGTAGCTTTTCCCCAGTTCTGTAGTACCTTCGTGGTTCTGAGATTACCCAAATGTTTCAAGCACGGCTTTGAACGCACTTTGCGCTGTGCCAAGAGGTCTTTCTGTTCTGCTTCACTCATAAATTCTTTCATGTTTCCCCCCCTGCAACTTTGAAGGCTTAATTCAGTGTGATCTAACCTTCTCTGTTGCTTAACACTGCGTGTAGGCAGGCAGACGGGCCACTCCTCGGGTCATGTTGCTGAAATCAGATCTTACATACGTAGCTTTTATGCTTCCTCAGTCTCACGACTGGAATCCAGCTCTGTGTGTTCCTATTCCCCTTTTTTGTTTTCAGCATTTGTCACTTCTGTTGCTACATAGAAGCAAAGGGTTTGGGCACCTTATCTTGCAATCTCAGACTGGAAGTAGAGACAGCAGAGAGCTTGTTCTAAGCAGTCTTCTCAGTCTTTGCCTTTTAGCCTTTTGAAACATAAAAGGACTCAACTGTAATTAACAAAAAATGCTTAGTAAAACCTTTGTAAATTTTCTACTGAGATGAACTCAAAAAAGAGGCTGCTTCCATCAACTCATCTGAACTTCATGCTAAGAAGCTTCCTTGTGATGATGAGTCATGTCCAGCTATCTGCCAGATGTTTGAGAGCACCAGGGTACCTCATCTAGCCTTTTTCCTAGCCTTAAGCTCCCAGTCCATCTCTTCCTGGCATACAGTTGTGCGCATCATTCCTGTGCAGTCCTTACAACACAATATTTTTGATGTAAAATATGTAGGGTTGCCAGCATGATTTTAAAAACTGATCTGAGCTTAAGCAGCAGGAGGTTTCCATGGGGCGTTTCCTCTTTCTTGGCACCGTTTCTGTCAGGACAGAATTGAAAACACTGTGGGCTCCCGCCAGGGATTAGTGGTGTAGAAAAGCAGAAGCTCTATCTTTCAAATCTAAACAACGTATTAGAAAAATTATGATGACTTGCAGAGGGTGGGGGGGGAGCAGAAAGGGAAGGAAGCTTTGTAAACTGCAGGTTTTAAACTTTATCCACTTCATGTGTGTCCCTTGCAGGAATGTGTAGCTTGTGGTCGTTAGCTACTTGTTAGAATAGCTGCTGAGGCTGTCCTGGGCTCCGACTGCTACTTTTCTCTCCAAAATAAAATTAAAATGGAAAAACACATTCTTCCTACAAAGGAAAACATGATAAAATGGAGAAGCAGATCACAGCTCCATCTTTAGATGACAGTCACTTGCCTTGCAGAGGAGAGTGCTTCAGTCTATTTATGTTCAAACCATAACAGTCCGGGCTCGAGCCCTGTTTTGAATTCTGACTGATGTGTATATTATCTTGCCTCTTTTACACAGGGCAAAGTCTCTGCAGTTTAATTGCAGCCTTAAAGTTCAGACAAATATTTACAGCCTCTGCTTTCCTTTTAAGATGAATGGCTACTTCAAAACACTCTCTTTGCTGTGTTTCCCACTCCTTAAGTGGGCTCATGCTTTTTAAACCTGCCTGGGCAGCTTGAGAAATGAAGTAGGAGTCACAGCCAGTACAATTTGTTCTCTGCTTTATTTACAGGAGCCAAGCAATAAGCGGGTTCGGCCTTTAGCACGGGTCACGTCCCTGGCGAACTTGATCTCTCCTGTAAGAAATGGTGCAGTTCGGCGCTTTGGGCAGACAATACAGGTAAAAAGCAGAGCCTTCTAGTCCTAGAAGTCTAGAGACATGGGGAAGGTACTGGTTGTGTGGGGGTAAAACAGGCACTGGGATTTCAAGGCATCTCTTGAAAATCTCCTGTGTGTTTCGTGCAAGGACAGAAAGCTTGCTTGAGACTTGGGGATACAGAAGAGTTCAGAGGTAGGTTGTAGCTTGCTAGATAAGCAGGTTATTGAGGGTTTAAGCAGTTTAAAAAAAAAAAAAAAAAAGCTGATTCAGATAGGGAGAATTAGTTGATAAACTGTTCCAGTACTTGAGATATGTGGATTGGAGCGCATGCTTAAATGTGAACTGACCCTGCTGTTCAGCGATCTTTCGATAATGTTAGAGAAGTGTTGTCTGAGGAACACTATACCCCACACATGCAGATAAGAGCGTTTCTGTGTCTAGGTTTTAGTAACATTGCACATCACAAGATCAGAGTTCAAGTGGCTCCTGACTAGACCCGTTATGGGTAGAATTATGACCCTAGTATATTTACTTCCTCATAACATGGAAATAGACCCAAGCTTTACCTTTCCATCCTTCTCCCAAGCACTGCTGCTGGATCAGTGCGGGGAGAGGTGCATGGAAAAGCTTGCCAGTCTCTGGGCTCTCGGGGCTTTCTCAGCAGCTTGATTAAAGTGTTCCTTTGTCTAAGGAAAAGTGTCTGGGTGTGTTTTCCTGCCCTGTACAACAGAGGAGGATGAAGGATTGGGAGGGGTGTGGATAGTACTGTAACACTTCTGTACTTCTGAAATGGTGGCTCTACATATTTTAATTTTTTTTTTCTCTTTTTTTTAATCCCTGTAGTCATTCACCCTTCGCAGTGACAGCAAGTCTCCTGGCTGTGCCCAGAAGTCATGTAGCAGATCTGCTGCTCCTACTCCTCCTAAAAGAAGAAACAGTGTACTTTGGTCTGAGATGTTAGATGTCAACATGAAAGAGTCCTTGAGCACCAAAGAAATTAAGCGCCAGGAGGTAGGCCATCTGTTAAAGAGCAGGATGGAACGGCAGCCGAGGCCTTGGCTTGGGCTGTTTACTTGGTGGGGAAAGGAGTAATGAGCATCTGTGGGTGACTGTATCTTCCTGTGCACCTTCGTTTCTAAACTGCGAGACTTATTTCTGCATTAGGCATGGGAAAAGGTAGGCTTCTCTCTCTTGAGTCACTAGGGAGTTCATCTCCCCAGTTTGACCCTTCAGAGATGCCAAACTCTTTCCGTGGGGGTGCTCAGCATTTCTGAAATTCGAGACTCGACCCCGCTGGTTGTTTTGCAGCAGACCCAAAATCAGGTTCCTTGTAAAGCCAGCTGTCTTTCTCTTAAAGCTCTTGACAATTGGTTAAAAGCCAAATAGCAAGGCCTTGGCTTGCCCTTTTCCTGTAGTTCTTAGACAAATCTTCTAATGACAACACAGAAGCTGACTAAAGACGCCTGGGATTTGACCTCTGTGGTTTTCTGGGTTTTGTTTTTTTCGTCCTTGCCTGTATAGAAGCAGTGATTTAAAAGGCGCTAATATTTAATTTGGCTTGTGCGTGAGCGTCAGAGCTTTCGCACATTTGTAAGTAACGTTGCTTTCTCGGAGCTGGGAAAGCCGGCAGATTTACGTGAGGTTGTCATGCCCAGGTGGCATACAGTGATTCAGATGGCAAAACCACCTATTCAAGCTGCAGAGGCAGGATGTGCATTATGTGAGCTGAAAGGCTCTTTCAGAGGAAGACTGGGATTAAAAATGACTCTCGATGCTTTATCCCCTTCCTTGCAGGCAATATACGAAATGTCCAGGGGAGAGCAGGACCTAATTGAAGACCTGAAGCTTGCCAGAAAGGTGAGTGGGGTTTTTTTTGTGTGCAGTCAGTAATCATAGGACAGATAACAACGAAGTTTCTTTGCACCTGCAAAGATTACCTATCAGCTTTATCAGGCCCAGAATCCACAGTTTGAAAGCTGACGTAAGCAGCCCTACAGTACTGGTTTGATTGCAACAAACCCAGCCAAAAAAGGATTGTGTTTTGCAGTGCTGCAGAGCTAGTTGGGGAGTCCCTCTCCCAGCTGAGAACAGTTCAGACAGGAAAGTCTTTTTCATTTGATACCCTCATACAGAGATTAATCTTTTAGCGGTCAAAGTCAGTGTTACTGTTTCTGTTGGCTTCGCTTCATATCTGTCCTGCTCGTGATACATCCCCTCATATTTAAATTGTCAGCTTTCGTGCTTGGGAGATTTGAATGTATTTTAATACTGACGTTCTTTGACAGGCCTATCACGATCCCATGCTGAAACTCTCTATCATGTCCGAGGAGGAACTCACCCACATATTTGGGGACTTGGATTCTTATATTCCTCTGCATGAAGGTAAGAGCAACTGGATCATTTTCACATAATGTACTAAGAGTTAAACTCTCTGGTTTCTCACATTAGAACAGCTTACTGGGGCATTGATGCAGTTTCTATTCTTGTGTTTTAATTCCAGACTTGTTGGCAAGTTTAGGAGAAGCAACAAAACCAGATGGAACAGTGGAGCAGATTGGGCCCATCCTTGTGAAGTGGGTGAGTACATAACTTAGAGACAGCAGGCTAAAAATGCGCTTAAAGAACGTTTAAAGCTAGAAGCCGAAAAGCTGTGGGCTTTTGTGGCCTTGAGCGAAAGACTGAAACGGAAATCCTGGCTACAGTGAAAACAATGGGAGTCTGTCAGCCGTAATGGGCCGCGATTTCACCCTGGAGACTTAGACTAGTGTGACTGCAACTACTTGCTGATTTATGTTTGAAGTGTCTATATCTTCTGGACTATTTGTCACTGATGTGATTTCAATAGCGTTATCACTGTTAATCTCAAGCATCTGAACTTCAAAGGCATCACATGCAGAATGGCCTTGTTTTCCTCACAAAAGACTAGCTACATATACAAGATAGTCTGTTTGCTTTTTTATTGGGCAAAGTATCACAGTAGGGGAAGTAGAACTCCCTGAGTTTGACGTGTTAATGTGATTTTTCTTTTCCTGCATGGAATTTGACTCCCAAACGTTGTTCTCTTCTCCTGCAGTTACCACGACTCCATGCCTATAAAGGTTATTGTAGCAATCAGCTGGCAGCCAAAGCACTTCTGGATCAGAAGAAGCAGGACCGGAGAGTGCAGGACTTCCTTCAGCGCTGCCTTGAGTCTCCTTTCAGCCGCAAGCTAGACCTTTGGAGCTTCTTGGACATTCCTCGAAGTCGACTGGTCAAATACCCGCTGCTTCTAAAAGAGATCCTGAGGCACACTCCCAAAGACCATCCCGATATCCAGATTCTGGAAGAAGCCGTAAGTAATACTGATTACATGATCATTGTTCTGACATAAGCATGTTATTCTGGAGCTTCAGAAAGCTTTCTTAAACTCTCAGCAACTTTGTGGGCTGGTTTTCTCGATGAACGCAAATCTGTGACTGTAATCCCTCATGAAAGCAAATGAGAGATCAGTCCACATGGATTCCATCATCCGGAGTTCTTAAATAGCACTTAAAGGGAAGATATACAAGCAAAGGTCCCTATTTAATCATTTGTAAATGTTTTGGTTTATAGATATCTATAATCCAAGGAGTCCTGTCTGATATCAACCTGAAGAAGGGGGAGTCAGAGTGCCAGTATTACATTGACAAGCTCGAATACCTGGATGAGAAGCAGAAGGACCCGAGGATTGAAGGCAGCAAAGCTTTACTCTGCCATGGGGAACTGAAGAATAAAAATGGACATGTAAGTCCCTCGTGTTCGTGGTAATTAGTTCTCAAGTTTGAAAACCTGCCCTCAGAGGTAGTTAAAACCATTTGTCTGTCAGCAGGACCAGGAGCCCTTCCATCCTTAGGGTTAGTTTAAACAATTAGCTAATTTTAAAAAGCAGAAGAGAAAGCACCTGATGGCAGTCTGCATTTCAGGGTGTAAGGGAAAGTTTCCTGCCGACAGCTTTACAATTGGCCTTCAGAAGCTGGAAAATAATTAGCACAAAATTACCGTAGAAAGTGTGCTCTGTGCCCAAGCACTCCATCAAAAGGGATTTCCTGACGGCTGTTTATTTTCAGGTGCTCTGACATTCCCCATTGTGTGCGCTAGCGCACAGCTCTTCCAAACAAAAGTGTTCCTGCAAAAGCCTGTTTGGCTTTGAGGTGGACTGCCAGAAGTTTATCTCCCACTGCAGCAGCACTGAAAGACCCTGCTGTACTCGAGGGTTTTGCTGCCTTTTGTTCTGGTTTGCAGGAGTAGCCTCGTTTTAAACACCAAATCTTTTTCTTGTTTTCTTTAATTTTTCGGTTGGGTGGAGTTTTTTATGTTTAACTCGGCCATTACACTTCCACATACATGAAGCATTTTATATTGTCAGACAAGAGGTTGCTTCTAATCATCTTTTCTTGCCATGTGCAAATCATAATTCGATTTTAAAGGGTTGTTAAAACAATAAACCTGTTGATGTAAGTCTGCCCTTTGCCACCACTGCCATGACCCTACGTTACTGTCTGAAAGCTAACGTAGGTGAAACTTCAGATAACGTGGCCTTGAATGCCAGAGGATGCGTAACCACTTTGAATATGGAGTATGATGCTTTGCTCATACTCAAATGTGTTTTCCCTTTCAGAAACTCTACGTTTTCCTCTTCCAAGACATCCTGGTTTTGACCCGGCCGGTCACTCGCAATGAACGTCAAGCCTACCAAGTGTACAGGCAGCCGATTCCTGTCCAGGAGCTGCTCCTCGAAGACCTGCAGGATGGCGATGTGAAAATGGGAGGATCTTTCCGGGGAGCTTTTGGCAATTCCGATAAAGGTATGGACCAAACCAGTTCATCTGCATGGGAATCTGTTGGTGAGGAGAGATGACACCTGGGCAGAGATCCCCGAGGACTGAGGTTCCTTTAGGACAGCAGACATGTGGACGTTAACATGTCACCTTTAGACTGTCACTGCTGGGCTTTGCAGTTTTATATTGGGTGGCCGTAAACTTGTATCTGGCGCTTTGCAGCTGGTGCTCAGATTAGAAAACATCTATTTTAACGTGTCTCTGCTGGCTCGTGGAGTTTGGATGGTTTTGGTGGAGTTTTGAACGCTTTCCCTGAAGCAGAGCAGGGCAGTCCAGGTCGCTTGTCTAGCAATGGAATCTCTAAATATTGAGCTAGGAACTGATCTGCTTTTTCCTATGTTTCTCTTCAGCTAAAAATATCTTCCGAGTTCGTTTCCAAGATCCCTCCCCAGGCCAGTCCCACACGCTGCAGGCCAATGATGTCTTCCACAAGCAACAATGGGTTAACTGCATCCGAACCGCCATCGCTCCCTTCCAGCGGACTGCTGCCGCAGCAGAGCTGAAGGAGCTGCCAGAGCTGAGCGAAGAGTCGGAGGAGAACAACCCCTCCGTGCCCAACGTTAAAGCCCAGAAGAGGCAGTCTGCCATGTCTGGTATAACCGAGATGGAGCTAGACGAAAGCACGTCCGAGTGCGGCTCCGTCCTGGACTCGGAGGAAGCCAAGGGTGTGAAAACACACAGAACGCTGTCTGGGTACAGGAAAACGAGGGAGAAGCAGCTGAGCGGCAAGCGGAAAGAAACGCTAGTGTAAAGGGGAGCCCAGCAACATCCTGGTGGAAGACTGTTTATTTATAAATAACGTGTACATTTTTCTTGTAATGTGAGCATGGTTGGATTCACTCTACTGAAAGAATTTTTTTTTATTTTTTTTTTTTATGTTGTAATGGCAGCTACTGGTATACAGTTAACGCTGTTGAACTGGAGTCTGTTTTTACAAGCATGGCCGCTTTGAGCCTGGTTTTAATGCTGTGAGTAATTCGCAAGCCCTTGTGCTTTTGACTGCTCATGGCAGATTTGAAGAGCACACTTTGATTTCGGAAAGATTTCTACATGTGGTGTTTGAGGTTTGGAAGACAGCGAAGTTAAAGTGGAAGTTTGGGCTGTCACCACGAGTCTGGCGGCACCTCCCTTTGCAGGGTTTGGATCAGCGCTGCAAGAGTCCTCTTCAAGTGGACTCGAAACCTGAATTCACGTTTTCTTGTCTTTTTTTTTTTTTTTTTTTTTTTTTTGCAGTATATGGTTATCATAATCCACGCAAGTTTTCATGGTAAAAAAGGAGAAAAAAAAAAAACCAAACACAAAAAAACAGACCCCAGATTCAACAGGTTCTCAACTTACCTACTGGAATCTTTCATCTTAGTGTGTCCTTTGTACATTCCTCATTTTTCACTCTTGTAACCTGCCAGATATTTAAATTTTTTTATTAGTTTTGTTTCAAGTTTGGGGGTTTTTTTTCTTTGTTTTTCTTTTTTTTTCTTTTTTACTTTTGTATGTTGTTGTTGTTGTTGTTGTTGTTCAGACTTGGCATTTCCTTTCAAATACTTGATCCTTCTTGCTGAGGTGTGCGTGTCCATACTGTTTCTCACGTCACTCCACAGTTCTGCGGAGCGCAGGCAAGCCGTAGCGTTACGAGCCGGTGGCTGGGAGGAGACGCTCGACGTACCCTCTTACGATGAACGACGTAAACGGCTTGTGTGCGCTCCGGACTACTGAAAGAGAACTGCGTTGCTAGCGGGGTTTAGGAAGGTTTTAGGCACGTTGCAAAGGGTTTGGGGAGGGAAGAGGAGCAGCTAGAGGGGAATAGCAGGGAGCTGAAGGTAGATTTTCTTGTTACCGTTGCCTTTTGGAAATGAAACGCCTTCTGTTAGGGGAGGCAAGGACTGGAGGCAACTAAGGGGTTATTGCATGTGGTAGAGAGGTAGAGAAAAGAAAGCGTTTGAAGCTGATGAGGTGTGAGGACAGAGGAGGTAGTGGTTGTATATACTCGTAACGGCGACACTGCCGTGTTCTAGCGGTCCAAAGATTTGTGTGAGAGATGCCGGCTTGGTAACTGCGCTGCGAAGCGTCGTAGGAAACAAAGCGGTGACAGCTTTGAGCAAAGCCAACGGGCTCTTCCTGTCATTCGACTGGTGGTACAGGGCGAGGACGGCGATCCCACGCTACCCTTCCTCGAGCGTTACCCGAAATCTGTGCTCGAGGAGCCGTACCTCGCGCGTAACGGGTCATTGCCTGTCACCTGTTTGGCCAGTAACGTTGGAAAGGGGTAGAAGGTGTACATAGACACAAACGTGTGGTTCTCTGTAAATGTGTTTGTACAGTTTTGAGTGCCAAGTACAATTAAATTCCTGACAGCCTCTTGCTTGCCTTGTCTGAGTCGCTGGGAGGGACGTGCTCGTGCCATGGGTGCTGCCAGACAGCAGCAGATAAGCGTGTCCTTGCACTTCTCCGAGCACGCGCGCCTGTCCTAGGGCTACACGCTCGGGAGGAAGCCGTGCCTTTATTCGGAACCCTCTTCTCTGTCCCAGTTCCTCTTTGGGCCATTGCAGCCGGGCAGGACACGAGCCGGCAGTTTACAGCTCCGTTACGGCGCGAGGCCCGGCAGCCTCCACCCTTGGTGTGCAACGGGCCGTCGCTGTAAAACAGGGCACAGCTGCGTGACTCACGCCATGCTTGCATCACTCTCCTCCGTTTCTGGGGGAAAAGGGAGCTGTACTTGTCCTCCCGGGGCACCAAAACCTTCCTACAGCAAAGAAAACACCCTTTAGAACTCCAAGGTTCCCCCGTTTAGCAAATATTTAGAAATCCTCTCTTGGATGAAGCTGTGAGAGGACGGGGGACCCTACAGGGCAGAGGCCCCTCAGCCAGGGCGGCTTCCCCCGGGGCAGGGGGAGGCACCCGCTTATTAGCGCCGTGACAGAACCCTCGGGTCTCAGCAGCCCTCCCAAAAAGCTGCAGCCTGACCATCTAGGGTGGTGTCTGGTCATGGCTGCAGCTCCCAGGGGGAGCAGCCCTGGCTCCCTGTCAGCTCCCTCAGGCTGGCTGTGCTCCCATGGGACCCCCCCCTGCGCCCCCGGGGCACGGCTCGGGTTTGCGGGGACAGCCTTTGCAGCTGAGCTTTGGCCTGGGAAGCTGAGTTTTGATCTGGAGGCGACTCGGCCCTTCCGAAGCAAGGAGAAGCTGAAAAAAAAGGCGCTTTTTTGCCATTTAAAAAAAAAAAAAAAGGCATTAATAAGCTGCTGGGGCCCACAGCTTGTCCTTAACAGAGGAAATCCTGCAGAGAGCCTGCTTATCCTCCCGCGCATCAGGCTGGGGCTCAACCTTCATCTCGTCATCCTGTAGCCAACAGTCAGCAAATTAGCCAAGAACTTCATTTCCCTTTCCAAGTAAATTCCCCCCCTGAGTCTTGGTGGTTCCTATCCCTGCTCCGTCCCTCTGGGAGGAACGTGCAGACCGCAGCCATCCTCCTCCTCCTTGCTAGACTAAACAAGCCGGGCTTTCCTGGTTTCCTCCCGTGCTGAACTCCATCGGGTCCTGGCCCGTCCTCTCCTCTCCTGGGCAGTTAAACCGCTGAGCCAAGACCCCCCATCTCACGTACGGGGGGACCCCAGGACACAGCAGGGGTAGAGGGGGGGACCTGGGCCCCGACATCCTTGGCCACAGCGTGGTCCCGTCATGGCCAGGGAAAGGGAAGGTGTCCATGCCCGGCGGACACGTGGACACCTCCGCCTTCGGTAAGCAGCTCCCTGGCCCCGTATTTACCTTTGGGGATCCACCCAGCCCGGCTGCTACGTGTGGAGAGGAGCCAACACCACCCCAAGTTTACAGGTGAGACCTTCCTGGAGTTGGTCAGAGCCGAGCGCGTCCCTCTCTGGAGCATCTCCCCAGCACCCTGATCCCAGCTTCCCTCCCCTGCCATGGTGATGTCCCGCAGGGCCAAAAGCAGGACCGGGGTCCCTTCGCTTGGGCTAGAAAAGCCTGACTTTAGGAGCTGCCCTGCAGACCTTGCAGTTGGCCCTCAGCTTTGGAAACCTCTGTTAAACCGATGCCTAAAATAAAGCACAAGCCCAAATTTTACACCAGCAGCTGCCATCCCTTGGAGACCTCCGCAGCCCTTGCGGAATCATCCCCAGAAATCCCTCTCCAAAATCCCATTTTCCACATTAAACCCCGATGCAATTTATGCCGGGCTTTGCGGAGGTTCCTCTCCATCCCCACGGACGCTCACAGGACTGGCCGGCCTGCGCGGGGGGCACGGGGCCCCGTGGAGGTTCCCCCGTCGGAGCGCTTTCCCTTTCCACCTCCAACTTTCTCTTTTTCCAGGTTCCCCCACCCCCCCCCCCCCCGCCCCCGCCGCCTCGTCTGCAAATGCAAACCCAGACGTCGCCGCGCACATCTGCGCACATCTGGGCTCGCGTTATGAGCCGCGCGGGCTCGGGATAATCCAACTGGGTGCTTTCAACCATCTGGTCTGGGTTGGTTGGTTTGTTTTTTTTTTTGGCTGTTAACCTGGACCAGACCGCTCGAAGCCAGACGCCGAGGTCGAGCAGGGCGATGCCGCCTGGAAAACGCCGTGTGAGGTTTTAACGTTGGCCGCTTGCACCATCCTTCCTCAAAGCATCGACCTTTCCAGCTCCGGTTGGAGACATCCCGGGAAAATCGGCTGCCAAAATACCTGCCCGCCGGTGGGTGGCCGCTGGCTGCCTGCTCCTGCCTCCCACCATGGTGGTCTCACCGCTTTCCCGTCCTCCCCCACGGCCCTTCTTGGATGCCGTAAACAGGACTCGGCCATAAACCACGGGATTTTACGGGCCAGCAGGCAGTTTTATTAGGTTAATTATGCTGCCATGCTAATGAGGGTGCAGTTAAGCACAGTCAAAACCAAGGGTTGGCTTGACCTTCTCCCAAATACTGCTGCAAACATGGGAGGCAATGGGTGCTGGTGATGGGAAGGTGATAGGTGTTCGTGAAGGGAAGATATTGGTGATGGGGAGGTGATGGAGAGGTCATGGGTGCTGGTGATAGGGAGGTGATAGGTGCTTCTGATGGGAATATCATGGGTGCTGGTGATGAGGAGGTCATGGGGAGGTGATAGGTGCTCGTGATGGGAAGAGCATGGGTGCTGGTGATGGAGAGGCGATGGGAAGGTCATGGGTGCTGGTGATGAGGAGGTCATGGGTGCTGGCAATGGGTGCTGGTGATGGGGAGGTGATGGGTGCTGGTGATGGGGAGGTTATAGGTGCTCGTGATGGGAAGAGCATGGGTGCTGGTGATGGGGAGGCGATGGGAAGGTCATGGGTGCTGGTGAGGAGGAGGTCATGGGTGCTGGTGATGGGGAGGTGATAGGTGCTCGTGATGGGAAGATCATGGGTGCTGGCAACGGGGAAGCAATGGCGAAACAAAACCCCCAGCAGCTTCCAGCTTTGCCCAGAACCAAGGGACGCCCAGAATGGAGCAACCCCTTCATCCCTAGCGAAGTGACCCAAAGTCCTCCCACCCAGCCCACCCTCATTTTGAAGCTCAAACAACTCTCCCCGTAGCTTAAACAAACACCCTGATCCTCCCGGGCTTTGAAAACACCCGGTTATCTGTTGGCGTTTGCTTCTCCCAGCTGGGTCCGAGCCAGCTCCCCCTCGTCTTGGCTCCTCGCTTGGCTGCTCGGGGCTTTTTCACAATAATCTTGAGTCGATCTTATTAAATCTGGAGCGGAACAGCAAGCGCAGGCAATTAGACAATTAGGGAGCAGCTCATTGCACAAGAGAAGCTGCCAGGACCTCCCCTCCCCGAAACGCGCTCGTGGGGTGAGTAGCGCCGTGCCTCTCGCCAAACAGGTTCCCGGCACGGCTCGGCCGATTCCTCCCTGCAACTGCAGCGTTTTACATGCCCGGAGTTTTTTCCAGATGAGTTTTTCCTCAAGACAGTGATCCCCTCCCACACTTTGTCCCACCTGGAGGCCCCGTTTCCCAACGTTCCTCAATTGTCCCATGGGTTGGCTTCTGTTTTGTGGCCTTCTGCAAATCCCACAGCTCTAATTCCTCACTGGATTAAACTGGGGCAAACTGGTACCATTTTCTTGGAGCCAAGAAAGTCAAACTATCTTTTGCTTCCACCTGATCACCTGGTCCATTAGCTCCTTGGCCCAGCTGGTGAAGGTCACTTGGTTGTTATGGGCGCATGGAAAAGAGGGATGGATGGTTGGAAGGAGAGGTAGATAGATGGTAATGTGAATGCATGGAGGGAGGGATGGGCAACTGGATGTACGGGTGGATGGACAGATGACTGGATGGATGATAATGTGGTTGGGTGGATGGATGCACACGTGGTCAGATGGCTGGGTGGATGTTTGGTTGGTGGGATGGATGGATGGACGGACGGATGGATGGATGGATGGATGGCAATGTGGTTAGGTGGCTAGATGGACACATGGATGGACGGGTGGGTGGATGCATTGATGAATGGATGGTGATGTGGTTAGGTGGATGGATGGACACACGGATGGATGGACACATGGATGGATGGATGGATGGATGGATGGATGGATGGATGGATGGATGGATACATGCATAAATGGATGGACAGATAAATAGATGGAGGGCTGAATGGACAGTAGGATGGACAGAGAAATAGCCCTCATCCTCATTTGTCTCTGAACCCTCCTGTACTCCCTGCTGTAAGAGATGAGTAAAAACGAAAGCAGGCCGTTACAACATGGTTAACCCTCACTCAGCCCCGGGGTTAATCCCTGACTAACCAGGGCAGGACTCATGACACCGCTCACCTGATGCTCCACCACGTCAGTTGCCCCGGGGGCCGCAGGGCCGTTCTCAGGGAGCCCGGAAGAGGCATCACGGCTGATTCAGGTCTCCGTCAGCGTGGAGCACGTCAGCTCCAGGCAGCCAGGGTCTGCCTGGACCTGCACAAGGCAACCCTCCCTCGGCAGGTTTGACATGCTGCCAGCATCGCCGTGGCGGGCCTGGGGCTAA